AGTTAAAGAAGCCAATTAAACATGGATTGCTTCCTCCCACTTGGGCCAGTCTTGCCTTTAACAACATTCGATAATAGATTGCGGTTCATAATCATCGTTAATAGTCTCATGGGCAACTAAGAGTGCAAAAATATCATCGATAGTTATCTCATTTTGATCCCAAATCTCATTACAATATGTAATAGAGATCTTAGTATTCCTAAAGTCGGTGATCTTTTCATAAGTTCATGCCTCTTCAGTGGCAATAGGCTTTTTTGGAACAAGCTCAATATTAAGCTCTTTTAGAGTGGATTTCTAATTCTTCACCCTTTGTTTTCAAGGGGTAATGTCTTTTGTTCCTATTAGTTTTACACACTTTAGGCGTGGGCCATTTTGATTTATTTCGGCTTGTCTTTCGAGAATAACAATCTTAGTTGGAGCATTCACAACTAGAATATGAGATTTTGTAACCTTAGTAGTATCATTAAATGCATCAGAAAGTCTATTAGCAGTAGCCTGTAAATGTATTATATGTTGTACTTCATTTGCACATTCAAAAATTATTAGGTTTAAATAGGAGAGATTTTTCTCATTCTAAGAAATATTCTCAACTAGTTTCTACTTTCTTAGCCATGGAAGCCTTAGGTATTTCAATTGATGGAAACACTGTCTTATCGAAATGACAATCCATGAATTTAAGAGTAAAAAAATCACCCATCATTGGTTCTAAAAACCTAATAATGGATGGTGAATCAAATCCAATGTAAATGCCTAAACAACGTTAGGGACCTATTTTTTGGTTTTTTGGTGGTGCTATAGGCACTTGTATAGTGCAACCCAAGGTGTGTAATTGTGAAATGTCTAGTTCATAGCCTAGAACCAACTGCATAGGAAATTGTAAGAGGCTAGCAATAGGGTGCAATCTAATTAGTGCCATTGCATGCAAAACAGCATGACCCCAAGTTAAAGAGTTAGGTTTCATCCTCAATAAAAGAGTACGAGTGATAATTTGGATGTGTTTAATAAAGGATTTTATCAATCCATTCTAAGTATGAATATGTGGAATCGTGTGCTTAACCTCGATTCCTAATGAAGCACAATAAGTGTTAAAGCACTTGGATGTAAATTCACCAGCATTATCCATCCTTATGCTCTTATTTGGATAATTAGGGAAGTGTGCTGGGAGCCTTATAATCTGTGCAAGTAAACATGTAAATGCAACGTTGCGTGTATAATAAGCAAACATGGGAACATCTGTAGGCGGTGTCTATTAATACCATACAATATCAGAACGATCCACTTGCCAGTTATATTGATCCATAAATATCACCTTGAATTTTTTGCAAGAATAAAAGGGATTCATGATAAACCTTTGTCATAAAAGGTTTAGTAATGAGCTTTCCTTATGCATAGGTATAATTCTTGGACAACAAAACCTTCTTATCCTTTAAAAGGTATTCTCTAGTATTTTGGATTATTATATGCATCATCGTAGCTTTTAGGTGACTTAGGTGATCATGTCAAAATACAAACTCATCGAGATTTACCAATATCTAGGACATGGTAGCATAAATTCAATAGCTCGAATAATGACACAATAAAATCTTATAATTGAAGCTTTAAGCTTCCCATAGATGGTCTTCTAACCTATCTTATAAGAGGTGATACAGATACATTCCTTATTTTGCTTATAAATTGTCTCAAGATGGTACCCATTATGGCGTAAATGTTTAAAGCTAAGTAAATTCCTCTTCAACCTACTACTTAGTAATGCATCCTCGATATGCAAGGTGGTGCCATTTGGTAAAACAATTTTGTCATTTTCAGAGCTATCAAGAATCTCAATTGGACCTAATATTTTATGGACACTTTCCTCAAGCAATGTCACACTCGAGAAAAAATGCTTGTCACAAAGTATGATATGTGTCATTGCATTATCAAGCAAATAGACATCTTTCTTTCTTTTTTCCATTGGTTCCCATCTGCACTTGTATTGGCAACTTCAGGTGTCAAGTATCATAAAAATTTTCAAAATAGTCATGGGATTGAAATTTTTCAAATAATAAATATGAAATCAATTTCATAATAATTTTATTAAATGATTATATTGATCTTCCTTGGAAACAATCAACCAAAGGTAATATATTCAGAAAAAAAGAAAAAAAGAGAGGAAAACATTAAAATCCTCAAATCCTAAATCTGGGTTGTCTTTCATCATTTTGATGCTTTGGCTTGGTTATTAGGGTCTTAGAAGAAATTAAAAACTTCTAAGGATGCTTTTGCTTCTATAGGAATAGGGAGAGTCATCTTAACGAAGGCATTGTTAGCTTTAACATTCGTCATAGCAATAGAATTCTTAATGGCATGAGTCTCAACACACTTGCTCTTATCTTCCAAGGATGTCTGGTATAGATCAGCATAATGCTTTGGCATATGATAGGTACATGACCAGTGTCCAGCCATGCCACAGTTGTGGCAAATACTTTCATCATGCCTCTTCATGGGCTTTTGCCCTTGCGATGATTCCGGCCAAGGTAGGATTGCTTAAGGTGGTTAAGTCTTCAGCCACCCCTACATGGGTTATGTCCTTGCCTGTGTTCACAACCTTTAAATCGGCCTGTATTCTTACTAAAGTTAGCATTTGTTTCAAGTAATGCTTTCAAGCCAGTAAGTCTAAGATTATGGTTCTTGAGCAATAGTTCATTAATCTACTTTGTAGTCAAAAGCACAAAAATCAACTACAAGCACGTCTTAAATTGATGATACTGGTATTACTGCTTCAATACAATATTTGAAGCATGGAAGGTGGAAAAAGTTTTCTCAAATAGCTTTGATTCAGTGAGCTTAACAGTGTAGTCGAACATTGATTTTAAGTCTTGTAGCCTAAAATGCTGCGAATCATACTATGCCTAAGGGAGGATAACTGTCTTAGAATGATCATACCTCTCTCTCAACCTCGTCCACGAGATCTCAAGGTCTCGAATGAATAAATATTTAGTCTTCAGGCTTTCATGCAAATGACGGTGAATAAAGATCACTGCATTCGCCTTACCTTTGTCATTTGTTTTCCTATCTATAATAATTGCATTAGCAAGACTTTACCCTAGGAAATGCATCTCCACATCAAGGCACCAAGATAAATAATTGCTTCCACTCACTTCCAGGATGTGGAACTTGGGCTTTTTGATATTTTCCATAATTTTATGCATCAAAAAATGGACCCATAAATTAATTATGCCAACAACAGGGGTTCTTGAAGGCCCATTGCCACTTCAAGGGCTAGAGAGATGCTTTAGGTCTGTTGTCAACTTCATGCCGACTAGACAGTATACAAAATCAAAATCTAATTGGTTAATGAAGAACTAAGAAAACTATCTCTTTTTTTGTTTTGTAATTGTGCTGATAACCTGTTGTAAAAGAAATAATAGAAACAGGAAGAAATGAGAAATATTGAGAGAGTGGTCTTTATATATTACTGAAGCAATACTTGAAATGAAAAATAACAGTTCTACAATTGAGGCTTGGGCTTTATTTATAGTTGAAGCCCCTAATAGATCAATGGCTATCACAGTCTCCTAATAAGATATATCTCTAAATTACATTATCTTTTTGATAAATCCAATATTATCAACTAGATAATTTCCCCACAGATAAATCTTGAAATATCTAAAATGTGGATAATACCTTTATCATTTATTAAATTTACTCTAATTTTATTTGGTTTAATATAATGTGATATGTCAATATTCTACAACATTTGAATCTTTTTTGCAAAAATTTTTTGTTCCTCTATTTTTGTTTTTTATTTAATTTTTAATATTTTTATTCTTTAAATTATAAATATTAAAAAGAATATAAAATGACGTGATAATTTTAGACGTGAAACACATATTTGTTGGCTATATTTAACAACGCCATGCATTTGATTATATAGTAAAACTTTTATAAATTAATACTTGATAAATTAATAACCATGATTAAATAATATATTTGACCGATCTCAATTTGAGACCAACGTGGTGAATTAATAATTTGTTAAATTTATAAGGTAGTACATTTTAAAATAACATATAGGTCCCACTTGATATGTAAATAAACAATCTCCTTATATATCAATATTACACACATACGCACACACACATGTACATGACTCAATTAGGAAACCTTTGTAAAATATAACTCTAATGTTACTTGTTTTTTTTTGAAATTGATATCTCTTTGGACCTCATTTTGAATTTTTTTTAACGTATTAGGAAGTTCTGGTATAGTATTCTCATATTGCAAGAGAAAATTAAGTAATGTGATTGTTGCTTTGAGTGCATCTTTGTATGAGATAGATTTTAGTACAGAATTATTGTCTTCAACTTCATCCTCTTTGTCATTTCTGAAGTTGTTATCAATAATTTTTTTATCTTGAATAATGATAATTTGTAATTTGATAATTAAATAATGTTCATATAATCACAATATGATACATGTATTAAGTTCAATGTTTTGAAAAAAAAAAGAGAGAGAATGCATTAATAAATTAATTTTTTATTAATTAATATATAAATTAATAAATTATTAATTTATAAATTAAATAATATATTGATTAATTAATAAATTTCATAGTTCCAAATGTATTAATTTGAAGGCTTTTTTTTTTCAAATATTAAATCTACAATTTGGTTACAATTCCGATATCAAATATATAATTAATTAACCTTCAGAAAATAGGAAGGCAATAATAATTTCAATTTATGGTGATTTTCAATGCCACGAGGCACTCGCGTTGTAAGTAATTTTACACGGTAGTGCCAACAACCACTCCTATCCACAAAGAAGCCTTTGGGCATTGTTGGCAGATTTCTTTCATCATCTTCGATAGCCAATCAAAAACTACTACACAACCATCACAGATAGACTTTAATGTGAGTAACTAAATATTATCATGGTCTGTTAAACCCGTTGGAGAATTCCCACTTCTTTGCAAATGGGGTTTCATTTGTACTAATTATAGGATAAATAAAAAGCCAGAAATGAGCGCAATCTCTGTGCAGACACAAGCAGCACTCAAAGCACGACCAATCGCAGCATGCCTCTCTTCATCTAAAGAAGCCTTACCTCCATTGTTATCTCTCCTAAAGGTGCTGTTCAAGTCCTTAATTTCTTACAGTTTCATTGTATGGTGCTTTGCTTGTAAGCTTATAAAGTCTTTAGCGCAATCTTTGGTGAGTTGTTATTGTAACTGATCGCGGCTGACGGTGCTGCTTTTTTTATCTTCAGAACCCCATTTCAGGTTCACGAGGTTTCTCCTCAAAGAACAATGCTTTCCTCGGAGGTCAATTTCACAACAGACACTTTCTTTGGTATAATTCACGCCGTTCTCGGAGGAAACAAAGAGGTAACCGTAATGCAATTTCTCTCCCTTGGAGTTAATATTTGAGCCATGTTGCTGGGTTTCTAAGAGAATTCATTTAATCCTGGTATTCCTGAAAAGGCATGTAAGAACTGCAAATGGAGAATATTTGAGTGTAATTCATAGATGAATTTTGTACATTCAATCACGAGTAGGGTGCTTTTGAAGTAAATTAGTTATGTCCTCTTTAAGGGGAGTGTACTGGCTGGCCATGTAATGAATAGCCAGTATTGGAATCCATAGCATAGATCTGTTTCTTTTCATCTTTTTTTTTTTCTTTTTTTGTGAACATAATTTGAAATAAAGAAAGAATTATCCCTTTAGTCATGATGGAAAATGTTGGAATTTTAAAGCTTTTAATCATCTGAAAACCTTCATTCAGCTTGGCAATAACTCTTTTGCATTGTTGAAACATAGAACATGAGGTTCAAGAATAATAATCTTTTTACTTTTCTCAGTTGATATGGAACCAAGTGATTGACTTTACTGGCCTGTAGCCATTTAGCCTCAAGAGTGTTGAATCTTGTGTATAATTAGTGTTCTTCTTCCCATCCGCAATATGCTCAGCAACAAAGCTTTAGAATTAACAAAATCTGAATGAGGTTGTGTTTTTCCAATGCCAAAGGGATTGCGGTTTCACCAAGCTGTGTCCTTCCACTGACCGAGGAGAATGTGGAGAAGGTTTTGGATGAGGTACGGCCTAGCTTAATGGCAGATGGAGGGAATGTGGCTTTGCACGAAATAGATGGCCTTGTTGTGGTACTAAAGTTGCAAGGAGCATGTGGCTCATGTCCAAGCTCAACAATGACCCTAAAGATGGGAATTGAAACTCGCCTCCGAGATAAAATTCCTGAAATTCTGGAAGTAGAGCAGATCACGGATACTGAGACAGGGCTTGAGCTGAATGAAGAAAACATTGAAAAGGTTAGATAAGTGAAGCTCTAATGATTTAGTATTTCAGTCATTGTTTCTCATTTTTTCATAGCATAATCATGTCTTGATTCTTCACACGGGAACTTTTGAAGAAAAATATGGGACAACTTGAACTGAGAAATTGTTTACTCTTCTAGCTGAAAGATAGCAACGACGGCAACCATGTATAAATCACCCTAAAATGCCTTTCATGCTCCCCACTGCAAACTACCATATAAAAAATTCTAGGACTTCATCAGAACTAATAGCAGCTTCTAAATTGCAAGTAATGGTGAACTTCTCGTGGACATAATCTGACATATGACTTTTACACTCTACTAGTTCATTTTTTTATTTTATTTTAATTGAAGAAAGGAGATTCGAACTTTGCTCTTAAGGTTAAAGATCATGCATCAACTAATAAATCAAACGCATTTATTTAGTATATTAGCAACTGTCAATCTGTAACTTTTGTAGAGTTGCTAGTTGCTTTTTGTTTAAAAGTTTCCTTGGACTGTACATTCATCGCAACAAGAGGTCAAGAGCTTGAAACAAAGATTTTGGACAAAAAACAGTCGGATCTACTGTTTCCTTCAATGACAAAATGTTTTAAATAAAAGCGACATGCATAACAAAGGGTTAAATCTGGATTTTGGCTAAAAATAAACTATTTTGCTCTTTGAAACCCTTTCACTTCACTGCTAAATCGTGCTACCACAATCAGTGTATTCTATTCAGATACTCATAATTAGTCTCAGATTGCCTGCATAACTACTTTGTGAAGATATATATATATATATATATATATATATATATATATATATATTGATAACTAATAATGTTTTGCGGTGGAGAAGGAAGTTAAACGAGTAAACAAGAGCTCAAGCCAGTTTAGTGTTGCAGGTTCTTGATGAGATTAGACCATACCTGGTAGGCACGGGAGGTGGAGAACTTGAGCTTGTTCAGATAAATGACTACGTTGTAAACGTTCGGCTTAGTGGGCCTGCAGCTGGAGTTATGACTGTCCGTGTTGCTTTAACTCAAAAACTGAGGGAAACAATGCCTGCTATTGCAGCAGTCCAACTGCTTGACTGAAAGAAACAATGAGGAACATCATTTTTTGTAAAGCTCAAATTCCATTCACTGTCCATACTCCTCAGACCAAGTGTAATCCAACTTTAAATCCTTACATGAATATACCAAGTTTTCTGTATTGATGGACTTTGTTCTCCTTATGCTTTAAGAGATATTGTTTACTGATACAAAACCAGTAGGTGTTTATGCACAGATTTCTTATCATGTTCTGACCTATTGGGAACAGGATTGATACATAAATCCTCATACGACACGAGTGTCATCCAATTGTCATGGCCTAGAGCCTTACTTAAGAGTAGTTATCAATTTCGCTCTATTAATAACACATTTAATTACAGTGCTTTCTCTGTCACATTTCTCGTCTGCTTTAAGATTAAAGATGTGGAATAGTAATAGTAGTTCCTGCTAACAAAGCAACGCAGCAAGAGATAAAAATGTGATGCATCGTTTTTGTTACCAGCTATCACAATCCTGAATGAACTTGACTTCACAATCCTGGGCAGAAGAAACCCGTCCACCTGAAACACAAATGATAACCATGGTTTCTTCTTCCACCTTATTACTTGGCATACCTTTAAATCTATACTAAACGAGGTATATGGTTGAAGCGCAAGAAGAGATTGTTCCTTTGGTCATTGCAGAAAAATAGACGAGTACATGAAGGAAAGAATTTCCATTCAATATCCCTTCATTACACTTCCGATAAATTTTATGTACAATTAATTCATATTTCACCAAAGATTTACTTTATGTATAATTAATTCATACTTAACTCAAGATTTGTTATAATTGAATTTAAAACACAAAAGACATATCTAGTTTTTGATCCATGACTCGAAAGTGGAAACAGTACTTAACTCCTAAAATTCAATAAACTAAAATCTTCCTCTTTATAAGCAACTCTCAAATGAATGAGATTTTCAATGTTTTCGTAAACAAGAGAGAAGATCTAACCTTATCTTTTATATAGTGAATCTTTAGTCCTACTAATTATAAGATTTAGGGTTTTCTATACAACCTCACTATTAAGCCACATATAATATTGGGCACTAATCCACTTTATTTGATCATATTAAGAACTATAATATTATCTCTTTATCAAGATTAAATTAACTTAGCCTCATCTTGAAAAGGCAAAATAAATAAAATAATATAAGTCTACACTTTCATTATTAAAAGGAAAATCTAATAATCTTCCAATTGGACTACATTATTTAAATTCAAATTCTGAAAACAAATTTTATTTAAAAATGACACATAGACTAACACAACGGAAAACTTTATAAGCTTAATATACAATGGATTGTTCTTGAGACTACTTCAAATATCCTTCTATCCAATAAATTTTGTAATATAGGAAAATAACAATAACTACATCCATAAATATACAAAACCAATTATAATCACATATGGCACTCAATCTTATCGACATGAAGTAAATGTGGTAATGTAGCAATGAATAACAACACTTTTTTGATGATCTATTTCATGTGTTATATTTATTTGTCAATCACTTTATTATGTGTTTTATGAAGCCCAAGCTTACAAGAGAAATATTTTATATTTTATTTAATAAACCTATATGTCTATCTTAAATATCTTCAGATATATTTTATGTGTCAAAGATATAAACTTAAGGCTATTAATTTGTACCCCAAATCTGTGGTTAAGATTGACACACGTCTTAATTCTTCACACACACACACACATAAACTTTATAATTGAATACTGTTGAATAATCATTATTAATAATAAAACTAAATACATCATCAACTATGTGTTCCAAACAAATTAAGCATAAAGCATAAAACTAGAACAATTTCAAATCCTCTCACTAACCAAGTACATAAAAAAACCCCACCCAAAACACCCTTGTCATAAACACATTTCATGAGAGTGACAAGATGAAGTCCCTTGGTGAGAGGATCGACAATCGTGTCATCAGTCCTAATATGCTATACCAAAACATTATTTTTTTTCACAAGTTCTTTAATTGTCAAATATTTTATCTATATCGACTTTATCCCTGTGATACCTCTATTATTATTAGTGAACACAACTTTTGCAACATTATCATAGTACAATTGCATGGTTCTAGTGATAGAGTCAACCATAAACAATTCATTAATGAGATTTTTCAACTTGACAACCTTTGTGGCTACTCTATAACATGCTACAATTTCTACTTGCTTAGTGAAAGAAGTCATAAGTGTTTGCTTTATACTTTTCAAGATATTTCACCACTTGCCACATAAAAATTTATCCTCATGTGGATTTCCTACCATCTTAACAATTGGCAAATTCAAAATTTATATAGCCCATTAGCTTAACGTCTTTAGCCTTTTGGTAAGCTAGCATATCATTTTTTTTCATTTTTCAAACATCTCATCACATTTTTTTTTTTTTGCGACTTTCCCAATGATCTTTAATAAGATTAGAAAAATATCTCTCTAAAGGATCCACTAAAAAAGCAATGTCAAGCTTTTTGCACATTTAAGCATACATTAGGCTCCTTACTAAACTAGCATATGGTACTACTTTCATAGATTCCCTCTCAGCATCATTTTTAATATATTGTGCCAAGCTCAATTTATCACCTTTAACAATGGGCACATCTCCACCTTTGCAATCAAAGATTCAAAATCTATTCAACACTTGATCAATGTTTGCACATTGAGAAAATTCCAACAAGTGATGAGATCAATCTTTATAAATCTCAATCCCAAGAACATAAGATACTTCCTTAATATCTTTCATGTTAAACTACCTACTAGACAATAACTTTATTTTCTTGTAGCATGTCCAAATCACCATTAGCAAACAATATATCATCAACATACAAAATAAAAAGGATAAAGTTACTTCCATTGATTTGAGATATATACATCTGTCTACCATGTTCTCAACAAATTGAAAAAGGTGATCACTTCATCAAATTTAAAATACCATAGTTGAGAAGCTTGTTTGAGCCCATAAACAGAATTTTTTAGTCTACACATAAGAAGATTTTTATCATCCTCTCTAAATCCTTAAGGTTGCAAAATATGGAACTCTTTAACAGGATTCCCATTCAACAAGGTAGACTTAACATCCCTTTGGTGTAACTCTAAAACATAATGTGCTATTAGTATCATAATCACTCTATAAGCATCTTTAGAGGATACACGAGAAAAGATTCATTGTAATCAGTGACTTCTCTTTGTGTGAAATGCTTGGCTTCCAATCTAGCTTTAAACCACTTAAGCTTTTGTTTAAAATCTTTCTTGGTCTTGTTTACAACTTTTAGGTAGCTTAACAAGTTCCCACAAAGTTGTTAATTCCAATGGGTTTAGTGAAGTTGGGTTGAAAATCCCTGATTGATAAGATCAAGGTAGTGGATGTAAGTCAAGGGAAACAAACCACTATAAATATTGTGTTTTGTCCTTTTCTCTTAATTCTTTCTTTACTTGGTGTTCTCTAACCTCAACAAGTCTTCATGCCTTCCATCTTAAATCATCCAAAAGTGTTTAAAACTCAAAAAGTTGCCTTGAAAATTTTTAAGAGATATTCATCTCCCTCTAATGCTTATTTTAGGACCAAAAATAAGTAGTGAATATATACCCAAATTTAGGTGAAAAGGTGTTCAAGGCATGGTGAGCAATACAAGCAATGGGAATAATGATATCAAGGCCTTGCAATTTGGTTTGATAATGGACCATGTTAATGATGTACTCCATAAGTCTTTTTATCCCATCATAAGTCATGGAATAAAACATTTAAAAAAAGTGTCAATTTCAACATTTGATAACACCCTATTCCTTTGTACTACTATAGCTAAGAACTCTATTGCATTAGTTATATCAGGAAGTCTATTTAGTAGTTGTTTACGAATGGACCTTTTAATAAAAAATAAACAATCTATTAAATCTCTCTTATACTTCAAAGCTTTCTTATCATTCTTAGAGCTTTCAATACTAAGTTTAGCAGCCCTATCTACATTTATGGCCAAATCTATCTTGGATATATAAATGGCAAGCTCCATATCTCTCTTCCAATACTTAAAGTTTGACTTAGTAAAAATCTCTATAGTGGCCATATTGCTATTGATAGAAAATGTGATTGAAAATTTAAATAATGCAATTGAATTAGAATAAATAAGGTAATTTATATATAGTCAAAAAACAATAAATGAGTATAACAAAAGAGTTCAAGCATAAAATGCTTTAGGCTATATGCATGACATGTATTTAAGAGCTTTTTCACATAAAAGCAATCAAGCATATATAATGCAATATTTGTAACTTACCACCTTTAAGTGAATAAATCACCGAAGCTAGTCAATTCTCACACACATGCTTTTATCTATTACCTTCTAATTTTAATATATAAACACCACCTTTAGATGAGTGAATGCATACCAAAACCAAAAAAATCCTTAAAACATATGAGAACTATAATTTCATAACTTTAGTCAATTTCCCACTTTAATGACCGCAAATGAATTAGCATAATGAAACTTCTCTTATAAACGAATGTGTTTTTTTAATGATCATAGGCTTGGACTATATATAAAAAAATGAAAGAGAGAGAGAGAGAGGGGAGAGCTTTTTTATGGTAAGTGCGGGGAGGAGAAGCAACTATGGATTGTTAGAGATATGGGGTTTCAAGGCACAAAGATTCATGGTCAACCAAAGTTAGCACGATGGCAGAAATTCTCTATAGACAATTTTCATGGACAATATCACAAAGGGAGTTTCCTAGGCTGAAATTAAAGAGGTTTTTGATGAATTCAGGGTGGTGATGGATGTTTTTGTTAGGTTTAGGGACGAAAGGGAGTTAAAGGTAGCCATTAAGGGTGGTACTGAGCTATACATAGTGAAAAGATGATTGTTGGTTAAAGAGAGAATTTTAGTGGGGAGAAAAATGCTTTTGTCATTTTTTGAGAAATCAATGGTAGATCAGGGCCTACCTAGAACCTTCAAAGAGGTTGGTAAGGGTGAACAATTAGTGCATGTCGAAACTAAGCCTAAGGTGGAACCTCTTATGAAGGATAAAGAAGAGGAAAAGGCCTCGATTTATATTCCAAAAACTAACTATGCATGACTAAAATGCAATGCTATTGGGACCCTTCAAGATGGTTGTTCGAT